TAATTCGTTTAATGTATGGCTTATTAATAATTAGTTATCCCATGAAAATGTGTTTACGTCGGCATATCTTAAATAAGTTTATAATGTAATCGCTTATAAATATTGAGATTATATTTTAACAGAAATATATAACGGATTTGTATCAATATTTTAATTTGTTTCAACATGATTGTAAGGTTGCAAAATGTTAGATATTATTTATTAAAACATTACTAACTCTTATTTAAATTTCGATGAGTTAATACAATATTTAAAACAAGATAAGCACTAATTGTAAAATATGCACTTAATGAATTTGTTGAAGTGTCGATTTTATATTCATAGAATTATAAGTAAATTGACTTAAATTTTTAATACGGATACTTTCAGCATGAATGTCAGTAAATCCCATTGAGTCAATGTTATTTTACTGACAACATTTCTGATAGCATTTATAATTTACAAAACAGTGCAGCCTTAAAATCTAGCAGTGTTCAGGTATCTAGGGAAAATATGTTCTTATCTACTTTCTAATTTGATTATTTTAATTAAAAAACTTTATGTACAATATACTGTGAGAGGATATAATCTAATATTTCATATATTAATCCATTATCAATCAATATCCATTAATATTGATAAATTTATAACAATTCCGTATTGTGGAGTATAAATTGCCTTGCTTAAATGGGGACTTTTTTAAAATTTTATGGGGTGATATATTTTTAAAAATCATACATTTAAAGAATTAAATTGTTTATTGGATGTTAGCTAAAAATATCAATAAAGTTATGAATTATAATTAATAAATGTACTGCGGGAGTTTTTGTTATGATGTGGTCAATATGCTTGACCTTCTATTCTAGAAATAATCTCAAATCAATAAAAATTTTATCATTTTTTCCCCCATAGATCATGTTAAATTTAAATAAATTTTTGAGCGAAATCCTAAAATATGTCTCAAGTTATTTTTGCTCCTGTTTAAGAATCTGTAATCAAAATTCTTATGATGTAGTTTTTGGTTAATCAAAGATTTCTCAATATTTCAGATTTAAATCAATCTCAAAATATACAAATTTTAAAAGAATCTTTTATAATACAAAAACTACATTTAGCACAATAATTGTGCAGTTTTGCATTCTGAGACGAAGAGCATTCTGCAATAGTTAAATATTATTTTGAATCACATTAGCAATCATAAAAATCGTATAGCGTAGAATCTACACTGAAGTTCACGTGATATATTATTAGAAGTTTTATTTTTGTTTTGGAACTTGATAAGACCTTGATAAAAATTCAATAAACACATAAAAACACGATTAAAAATTTTGATATGTTGTTATTTAAAAAAAATTATTACCTAGATGTACTATAGTTTTTGAACACAATAGATTGTTTTATTAAGAACCGATAACATAAGATTATAAAGTTACATTACATTAGGTGCAATATTAGGTGCAATATTAGGTGCAATATTAGGTGCAATATTAGGTGCATTTTTAGGAGCAATTTCTACATTCATGATTCGTTGGTGTAAATTATCAATCGCTTGTGATTGGACTTTAGTTATAAATTTTTAAATAATAAAAACAAAGTTTTTAAAAATAATTTGAAAAAACGTATAAAAGCCAGAATCGCGTCAAATTTATTCATTGAATAAAATTGAATTCTTTAAAAAGTTTAAGAAATTAAAATACAAAAATGTATGAAATTCTCGGTTTCAATGTAGCAAATGTTGCCATTGGTTTTGTTACATGTTTAACATTAATTTATTGGTATTTATATAATAATTCTTATTATAATTTGTTAAAATTCTAAAGTTTTCTATTCTTAAAATAACTAATTGACAGGTTTTTAACCAAAAATTATGACTACTGGAAAAAGTTGGGAATCGATGGCCCGAAACCTGTTCTACTTTTTGGCAATTTCTTAGATCGATGTCGAAATCCGATGGGATCGCTGGACATCGCATACATCAAGAAATATGGCAATGTTTTTGGGTATTTACACACATTTGTGTAGTTAATGAAGAAAACACTATTAATTGAATGCTTGATATCAGAATATTCAATGGCGTCGATCCGGTGCTATTAGTGGCGGAACCAGAATTAATAAAACAAATTTTGGTTAAAGAGTTTCACAATTTCTCAGACCGAAGGCAATTGAGAACAGAGCACCCGATCATCAATAAAAATCTATTCAATAGTTTGGGCGACGACTGGAAGCGATTGCGAACTATTGTGAGTCCGACCTTCACGTCGGGAAAGATGAAGAAAATGTATCATTTGGTGCGAAAGTGTTTACAAGAATACTTAGAGCACTTGGAAGTGATGGCAAAGAATGCCCAGTATATCGACGCCAAGTGTCTGCACCAGAACTTTACGATGGATGTGATCGCTTCGTGCGCTTTCGCCACACAAACCAACGCTCAAAAAGATCCCAACAATAAGTTTGTAGCGAACGGACGGAAAGTATTTGTATTCAACGCGTTTAAAATGATTGCGGCGTTTGTTTTCCCGAAATGGTTGAACACATTGTTGAATATAAGGACTCAATTGGTTGAACCGCCGAATGAATTCATATTTGAATTGACGCGACATATAC